TATTTTTTGCTCGAATTCCATCATGAATCACATCATGAATCCGACTGAGTTTATCGTAACTTTTCTATCTCGGGATTTGAACGTTCGGATAGAAAAATAAAGAAGAAAACGTGCGACAGCCACGGGAGAGACAACTTACTTGTCATCGTACGAGCAATTTTTCTGTCGTGCAGAAGAGCAAATCACGAGCGAACGACCGAGAGCTCATTTTTTAACAAATCTGCAAACGACCGATCGATAAAAATGACAGAATTTTATCAGAGTCACGCCCTCCTCCTTGCTCCTACCGAACTCGATAATCCAACTGGTCCGTCCTGTCTCTCTCTCTCTCTCTCTCTCTCTCTCTCCTCTCACTCAAATCGATTTATGTTGGAATTCTTATCGCGACGAACGGACAACTGTGCTGTGGGAAAAATTTTGGAAAAAAAGTAGTATGGCTTGTTAACGGCAAGCGCGCTTATATCTCTCGTGTTCGCTCCCGACTATACACCATCGACGTAAAATCGATGGTGCTCGTCTTCCGTTAATAATGCGATGTTCGATAAAAAAGATCGAGTGACGAGAATTTGAAAGTCGCTCGTACTTTCGATCTATTCAACAGATCCCCTTGTACATTCGAATGTTCATTTATGATGATTTCATATGAGACCTTTATAAAAATTTGACAAGCAACCATGATTTTTTTTTCAAATAGTACCAAACATTCCAAACTCTTTCTCATCGTCTAGAAAAATTTCGGCATACGCTATAATAGATATATCGTTATGTATTATATTATAGAGGTGTAACAAAATAGAGGAAAAAGTAGACCTCTTCCAAACCTTTATCCTTAACAAAATACGTTCACCTCTCGCTATTTGTATCCGTTACCGTTGATTCTAATACTCCCATTTCTCTTAGCATCTTTTATTCTCTTGTTTTTCGATAGACACTTTCTCTATCTTTCTCTCTTCTTTTCCGGCAAACTCGAATGAAGACAAACGTGGTTTGAGAGTGAGAGAAAGAAACAGAAAGATGACAATAAGAACGATGCAATTCTTTGGGCTTCTACTGAACGTTCTCTGTTTAAAACGCGTTAGTACCCTCATGGAGGTTAAGTGACGTTGGCTGGTATTATGGAAATGAAGAGGAAAGCAGGGCGGGAGGGGGAAACCAAGTTGGCCACATTTACCGCGGGGCACCAGCCTGGATGGAAAGTTTTCCGCGGAAATTTGGTCTTCCTGCGCCGAGTCGCGGATACGTTGAACTTTTCGTACTACTCGAAGACACGCTTGTCGCGTCCGGAGACGCGCTTTTCGCGATAAACTCTATCTATCTTCCTCCTTCCCTAGCTCACCGTATACGCGGTCCTACGAAATAAACTTTGGCGTCTGGTGGCAGAAGATTGAGAGGGAGAGGGATGGAGGGAGAGAGAGCAAGAGGGAGAAACGTATTTTATCGTTACAAGGAATTAGTACTATATACTGTGAATGCTATGTTTGGTGCTTATGCAACCACATACGTAAAACATAGATATACCTATATCTACTCTATATGTATATTTCGGCTTTGGATTATCGTTTCGGTACAATTTCCACACTATTCGCATTCTCCGCGGGACATGGCGTAATTCACAAACCATCTACACTCCAGTAGGAACACGCTCTCTTTCGTTGAAATATCTGGAGCGGAAAGAGCTTTAGTGAATTTCGAGAAAGAGAGAGAGAGAGAGAGAGAGTAACGGGAAGGGTGAGTAGAGAAAGAGATAGATGCTTTCCCAGGAGAGAGAGAGAGAGACAGACAGACAGAGAGAGATAGATAGAGAGAGAGAGAGAGAGAGAGAGAGAGAAAGCGATGACAGCGTCGAAAGGATGGGAAAAGGCAAAGAGTTCTTCCCATAAAATATCGCGACGTTTCTTCTTCGAACGAAGGGGCGAAAAGACGAGGCAATCGTGTCTTTCATTTTCTTTTGCCAGTTCGTCGAAGATCGCGTTAACGATCTCGAGGGTAGACTACGACGGAAAAAAAAAGAAACTAGTAGGATCGATCGCAAGTTTTTAAGTTCTTTTCGATTTTTCTCGAGCAAAGAAAAATTCAAGATATCGACAAGAACATCGTATTTCGCGTTTCTCGCTCGATTCTCCAATCTTTTTTCGGCTTAAATTATAGTTCCTTTGTTATTTAAGTTCTATGAAGCTAACATAATCGAATTGAATATGCAAATATTAGCAAAAGTCGAGATCGTTGTGTATTACGTAGGTGCATATCTATACTTTTCGTTTGTGAAAATTTCAAAGATCTTTGAAACTATCTTTCGTTCATTCCGTCAAATGGATTTATACCTTTGATGATTTTTTCTGCAAATTTTATACCTTGTCCTTTCACCTTCCATCTATCTCTCCATCTATCTATTTCTCTCATTCGTTCCATCTCTGGATTTGAGCCGATTCGTTCGTCTGTTATCATAACGCACACGTAGGACCAGCCGATTATAAACGTTGTACATTTCCTGATAATAATAATCCCTCTATTTGACATGGAAAATCCTGTTGGTTTCAAAATCGATGCTTTCATAGCGTTGTTCCAGCTCGTTCATTCGTAATCGCTTTTCCAACACAAAAATCTCGTGGGCTATAGTATACGTGCAGAGTAAGCTACGACGAGGTCACAGCGAATGCTTTATTTATTCGATTAATTCGCTACGAGCTTCACGAAAAGAACAATCTATTATTCGAAATGATCTTTCTGAGTGATGGGCGTAAAAAGAAAAAAATTGCATAAATTCTTCATCAAAGAACGACAGAATCGATAGATTTAAATTGGATCCTTTAACGCGGCATCTCGGAAGAATGGCTTTTGAAAAAGTTAACGAGGACGAAAGAAACGGTTCTAGTCGTTCCATCCATTCGTCTCCTAGGGCCGACGAAATCGTTGAAGCGCGTTCGCAGGACGGCTTGAAAATAATCGTTCGTTATCGGAGTCCGGGTCAGTGAGGATGTGGAAAGGCGCGGCCACTAATCACGGCGTACGTGCTATAAGAATGGTCGAGGAATCGTGGTACGCGAAAGGGAAAGAGAGACAAAGAGGGAAAATCCTTTCCCCTCTATTTCACTCTTCGCTTTCTCTCCGGCAAAGTAAAAGAGGGAGCGTGGAATGGGCTTTCCAATAGGATTAACCCTCGTCCCGTTAATCCTTTTATTGGCGCGGCAAATCCTGCGACAGGTCACGTAAGAGGGTGTCTGCAGCGGAGTCGGATTCGCGAAGCCCGGTTATATCCTATTCCGATGAGGAAAGCGAAAGAGAAGGTGATCGAACGGAGACCGACCGGAATCTAGTGCCACGCGATTTTCAAAGTACATCGAAATCATTATTAGATCCCTCGAGCTTTAATGGTTCTTTAATATGGTCTTATAACGTAGGATTCAATTCTCATATTCTCTAGATAGGATTAATTATTAAAAACGAGCTTAAAATGTAATGAATAAGAGTATTTGGAATTCTCACCTTCTTCCTCTTCCTTCGCTACCTTACGTAGGATATATTCAAGAAATAAATGGAACAATGAAAATAGAAAGGTATACGTACTTTTGTTTTTTTTTGTTTTTTTTGTCTTCTTTTTTGTTTTTTTTTGTTTTTTTTTCTTCCTTAATTTTCTTCAATTTTCAATCTTTCAACGAGCATAATAGCTCATTTAGAAAGCGGAGTAGTATCCTTAATGATCTGGAAATGTACGTACTACGAGCACGTAAAAAACGATCCAAGAGTCTGATTATATCCTTTCGAAGAGACTCATTTAATTTAATTCGACCTCGATCCGAAGGTTGATTTTTCTTTCTTTCTTTTCTTTTCTTTGGTTTTCTTTTTTTTTTTTCTTCTTCAAGTCGATTCATATTTTTTTTGCAAGCAAATCTGACGTACGTACGTACGTACGCACGCACGCACGCACGCACGCACACGTTCTTCACGACGCGATGGGAGATTCACACAATGAAATTTGTATCTTTCTCGCGATAAAATGTTAGGTAATACGTTCAGGAAGCACGAGGCAAGGAGATATTCTCTAAAAGGTACGAACCGTAGGCGAAATTCGAGAGCGACTGTCGTTTACTTTGCGCGCGCACGAGTGCCCTGCAAAGCTTTACTACCGGCCGCTGATGCTTTATTGCGTTATTTCGCTTTTACTAGCCAAGCGACGCAAACTCGAACGTAACTACTGCCGTCTGTATGTACATACTCATACGTATATGTCTATATGCAAGATCGATGTTTACGAGATAGCTCGCGATCGACCGTTTACATTTCCTTACTTACTTCTCTTCTTCTATTCGGAACCGATTACATCCTTTGAAGAATCTTGATGAGTATTAATATAACCGTAACCCCGTAACTGCGCTCCCTACGAATTGCTTCGAGAATATTGAACTTTTTCTTTTCGCTTTTGCTCGCTATGTTGTATGAAAAAGAAAGAAAAAGGAAAATATAAATACGAGCATGGATGCCAGACGGATGGTTTGTGTGTATATGCGTCTAAAGGATATAAGAGGGTTCGTTCTGTGATCGTCGGAAGGATAGCATTAGTCCCTTTCGGGAAAGTGGCCAGATAGCGGAAGCGCAGCTTCAAAGGTGTACGTGATAAATGGAGGAACGATCGGTATGTGTGGAGGAGCGGGTATAGGGGACGCGAGTAGACGGATATCGGAGGCCGCGTTACCGATATTCCTAACGATGGATCTACGTGCGTCGGATCGCCATCAAAAGAAGGGCATTCATCTCCATTTACATGAGAGTACACGTACGTCTCGTAAGTAGGATTTTCCTGTTGGCTTTACTCTTACGCTTTCTCTCTCACTCCCCCTCCATCCCTTCCTCTTTGTAAGATCCTTTGCGATAGAAGGACGTGCTCGCTGTGGATCATTGGAACACGGTTTGTGTCGTTGGACGAATAAGAAAATGCGAAGATGCTTGCCTCACTTTTATAGACTTAAAAATCGAATTGCGATCTTAAAATACCAATGTTATTCTTCTTTTCTTTTCTTTTTATTTCCTCCAGCTGTAATTACAGATTGATCGTTCCATTGAAATGTTGCGGATTAACGGACGGAATGGAAACGATTTAATTCTTATCGTAATCATTTTGCAGTATCCGAGCGAGGTCAAAAAAAGTTTTTACATACGCTACTACGAGGAAAAGAGAATCGATATAGGTTATATACTTTGTATTTTCATTTCCGGGAAAATACGCGTGTTCGTTGGCTTTTCATTTCGTGAAAGAGTAGCGTAGTCGTTTCAGGAAGTAGCCATTATTCTTTGAGAGCGATATGTGCTCCAAGCGACACGTAATAACGTCGAGGAATTTTCGTCCGCGAGCATCGTCCGCGATCTTCCCGGTCGTATTCTACGTTCTCTCTCTCTCTCTCTCTCTCTCTCTCTCTCTCTTCTCGTTTCTCTTAAAGACCTTGGAAAGATCAAATTTTCTTTGCGTCTTCCCCATATTCTCCTCTCGTTCTACGTTTTATATTTTTATCGCGAAAATTTGTGGGAAATAAAAAGACGAGGAATAAATTAAATTCAAACTCGTTTCTTCGCCAAGTCGAGTACGAATTACGCGTAATGAGTAACGATATGAAAATGGTAGTTTTTCATTGATTTAAAATATCCGAGAACAAGAATGTCTGCCTGCGAGTGACAAGATTACGGTGGTAAAAGAACGACCGATGGCCCATAGAAGAGGGCGTGCGTCCTTAAACGAACTGTCCCGATCTAGATCGATCGTCTTCGCCTCTTTTCTCGAGTGGCTCCTTCGAATTTTCCATCTCTCTTTTTTTCTTGGACGATCTCGCATCGACTAGACGTCGTCTTTTAAATAGAACATGTAAATAGAACTCGCCAAAGGTAAGCGCGCGATTGAAATGAACGCTTAAAGTTCAATCTCGCACCAATCGATGGGCATTAAGTATCAAAGATTTTAGCCTTTCGTCGTCATACTTCGTTTCATTGAAACGAGCTGTCGTAAAGTTTCGAGAGATCTCATAAATCATATATGTATACATCGAACGGGACGTTTTTCGTCGACAGGTTCCGACGACAAAAGTTCCCCTTTCTTTCGGAATTAATTGTACCGTGATATTGAGACGATACGGCGTGTAACCGTTTTCTCGAAACAAACGACTGAAACGCTTGTATTTGGAGTTCTTGGGATTCTATCGGGAGGGACGATAAAACCTTTTGGGTCTCTTTCGCTTTTCTATCGTTTAGGTCGATTCCTCTTTTTCTTCCCTTTGCGAACGACTCTTCCTTCGACTCGCAATTTTTCTCCCTTTTTACCGTTCCATCTCTTTCCTCTTTTACTCCCTTTCTTTTCGTTTTCTCCCTTAACCTCCAAAAAAACTGGCAGTCGTCTTCCTGCAGCGTCGAAACACAATTGGTTCCAAGAGTTTGGCTCTACGTGAACCCTCTTTTCAAGTTCAATTAAAACCCGACGACTTGTATCGATTTCTGCGACGGACTTGTCGAAATATAAAAATAAATCGATATAGCTCGATAATATCACTCAAGGATCTTACGACTAATGAAATTTTTGAAAGATTTTACAAATTCGCGCTGATCTTGCGCATAGATACGAATAAAATCATTTTTTTGCCTTGTGGTTTATTTGCCATAACTCGAAATTGCACGGATACACTCATCGTCGAAATTGCATGCAAGGGACGAAGGTTTCGTAGATCAAAGAAAAAATAATATTTAATTCGACGATGTCAAACATCTTTACGTGCAAACTCCCTAATGCTTTTACCCCTTTATAACACGCGTGTGTGTATGTGTGTGTATGACTTAATGACTTGGTAAAAGTCCGTGAGCAGAATAGAGACTAGAAATGAGATAATCTGTCGTTCGCAATGAACTTTGCCTATTGTGGGTTGAGCTGGAGAAGTTTCTCCTAGTCGTCGTCCTTAGTTTGAAAGGCACACATACAGAGGGTGAGGCGGGGTTAGGGGGAGAGAGTATGTGCGTATGCATGTGAGAGGTCCATGAAACGACGGCACCGATAATTCTGATAAGACCACTCCTGCATGCATCGCACGCCACCACCGATGCATATTATATACAGACATGGCGACTGTTAAAGGACAAATAGGAACATGCGTGATAGGACAAGTTTCCAAGTTAAATGGTCCATGAACGCTAGTTGGGATTAGTTGTTCTCTTCGGTCGCTAAATATAATGTAGACCACGTGTATACATAGGTAGAGATATTTTTTCCATCTCTCTTTTCATTATACTTTTTGAGATTTAAATTGATCTGCCGTTGAAACGATCGAGCAAAGCTATACGTGTCGATGATAATGTTTTCGAAATAATTTCGTACATTTATCAATTAGCTTGATCACTATATTGTGTATCTATCGCCGAGTTTAACTTCTCTATCTCTATCGACTCGATGGCTTCCAAAGTAATAATTTATTGGATCGAGGTAAGCGATTCATTGAAACGTCAAGATAATTTGAACATTTTCTTATCGATTTTAAGCTTTTTTTAAAGTTTGCCATTATGCGATCATTAATAGCGACGATATCGATTATGAAAAAAAAAAATGTAGTTTCACGAGAAAAGAGAACTCATAGTTATTCGCGCGATAGTTTACTTCGGTTCGTGTCATCAATCGTAAAAGATATCTTGATCCAAGGCAAGTGCTTCTGTAGGAATCGCCACATTCACTTCAGGGACTATCCTCGACCTAGTTGAAAATCCCCTAGGAGCTCTCAGTTTGGTTACATTACGGCGAGTGCTTTAAAGTTTTGGAGTAAAAAATAATTTCGTTGGCAATATTCGTGCCTTTACTTGAGAATTCTCCGGGCTATCCGACGAGTGCTTTCGTCGACGACTTTCTCCGAAGTAACGTGACGAGTCATTGAAACTTTTTTTTAACTGAAACATCAAAAGTTCCGCCTGTATAATCGATAAAATGGAACAATATAAACGATCGAGACTTTGCGAGAATTCTGATTATCTTTTTTCAAAATTGTATTATCTTTCTTCTTTATAGATGCGGATCTTTGCCCGTTCCTTCAAAGCTCTTAAGTTTAGCCTGGTTTTATAATATATAGGAACTCTGCGAATAGAGATCTAACAAATTAAGGAGAAAATAACTCTCTCTCTCTCTCTCTCTCTCTCTCTCTCTCTCTTAAGAAGAATCTTTTGGAACAATTACGAGTGCAAATAGTACGAGACCGAAAATGAGAATATCTTGGGGCTTCCGGGATTGCCCGGAGGAATTTGAGTAAACCGTGACGAAGGTTCGTAGAATTAATAATGACAAAAGAGGAAAGAGCGGACAGCTTTGACCAAGCTGGATCGCCTGTCTCGACTATATCTACACATACAATATATACCTAACAAACCTACGCGTAGAAACCTACTACGTAGGTATATACGTAGGTATATATGTATACGTCATGATGCCCCATTATGCTTATGAATATAAATGCACCCATGGGAATGCGCGCAATAAATGCCGGCCACTGCCCTTGCGGATCTCTGAATTCTGCTTTACTGCGCGTAATTCGGGTACACGTGCTACCACCTCTATTTCTCTCTCTCTCTCTCTCTCTCTCTCTCTCTCTCTTTCCTTTTTTTCCTTCTTTTTTCCATCTTCTACTCCCAAAAATGTGAAAATGAAACGACTGAATGTACCGTTCCTTTTTCTTCTCATTTTAACGCAGCAAGTCCCATATTTAGGAAAAGGGGAAAAAGAAAAGAAAGGGTTTGAAGGAGTAATCAAAACAAAGTAATTTGCACGTGCTTTCAGAGATATTATGGCAACATTGATAGCAGGGCGTCATCTTTTTTGAAGAACCATAAATTATTTTCCATAACCATCGTCGCGTTTATTACAAGAATAATGACGCGTATTTATCTAAGCGTATCTCCGATTGCGCGCGTAAAAGTTGGCCCGTCCCGGTCGTAAAACTGGACGTATCCTCTTATTATAGTGCCCTTCTCAAACCGGTTTCGAAAGGACGAGTTCTCAGCGTCTACGGCTCTTTTTCAACAGCTTCCTTTCCGATTAACTCGCTAACTCCTGACTGATCCCTCTCACGCCGCAGCCCACTTTTATCCTACCCATCCAACCAGGTCCCTTTTCACCTCGCAGCCAACTTCTCGCGTGTCCACCAGCTTTACTCGCTCTTGGATCGTTTCCAAGGGTCTGAATCTGCTCGCACCTTCTCCATTCCGCGTATTCCAGCCTCTGCATACACCATTTCTACCGTCCACTTTTTTTCCTTTCTCTCTACTTCCGTCCGCCTATCTGCGCAGGCCATTTCCCTTTTTATCCGATTTGTCACACTAAATTTCTTTCATTATCGTTCGCTCCGATCGGCAAGAGCCAACTTTTTCTTTTTTACCCTTCGAATTTATCAACGGTACGAACCGATTTCCCTCCCTCCTTCCTCTCTCCTCATTTTCCGACCAAAATAAATTCTTTGCTCTTTAATAATGCTTGCTTTACTATTACGCATTTTGTTGTAATTGTATTTTTCGAAAATGCAATTAAATTCCATCCCTTTCTTATGCTTTGTTAATATGTTCTTAAAAGGACGTCCAAGCGCCAGGCATTGTGCGCGTGTCGTCTGATGCTTTTCAACGAATATTGTGTTCCATGAAAGCCAACGCGCTGTCATCGCGTGGCTCGACGCATAATGTTATACGAAATATACGTCAAATACCAACCCACCTTTCGCATACGTTCCACCCACTCTTTCTCCCTTTCCATAACTCACCAAACGATTATCGCGCGACCCATGACGCCTCCCCTCGCTTCTTTTACGCAACGATGCATTGACTAAACGTACGAAAATTCGTTCATATTCACCTTTGATTCTCGTCCGTATTCCACGTTTATATTCAACGTCCAAATTATCGACGCGATATATTTTATATTTTCCCGTGGCGTCGCAAATGAGCGTCGTCGTATGATTACTTTTCCAGAGGAACTTGTCGTTTTCTTCGTAAAATACGAAATAGACGTAGGAGTATCGTCTTTTGTCTTCGTTGAATGAAACCCGAACGCGTATTGCGAATATAATAGATGAGAAAGAAAGAAAACGGAGGAGACTCATCTTTCCATTTCTCCTTGCAGTTTGCACTCAATTCAGCAGGGGCGTGTACTCGATACTTGGCGTCGTCAGTCCGGACTCGTTCGACACGCTTCACTCCTACAGCAACACGTTTCAGATGCCCTTCATGACGCCCTGGTTTCCTGAAAAGGTAAGGGGGTCATCTATTTTCCCGTGAATTCGGGACCAGGACTCGACGATAAATTCGAATTTAACGCGAGAATAAATATGAATTTGGCGCCTCTCTTTTTCGAAATCAATCGAAGATCGATAAACGGGGAAACTACTTTTTCGCTGTCATTTAATCGATCGGTTCGTGCCAAATGACGTTATATACCAGCGCGATTCGTCGGATAACGACGAAAAACCAAAAAAAATTCGCAAATATCGCAAAGAGTCGTGCGGCAGCCGCGTCGAAAGATCGCCCCTCGGTTCTTCTTTGCTATTCTATTACGATCGATATTTTTGTTCGTGGTTGTATCGTAATGAACGTGAAACTGTTAACGAAGGGCAGAAAAGAGATGCGAGCGAGCGCACGAGCGAGGGAGATGGAACGTGCTAGAACGGCGCATCCTGCACGGCAATCAGATACGCATAATAGGATCGTTCGTATAAATATATATATATATGTATGTATGTATGCATGTATGTATGTATGTACATATGTATATGCGTCGACGTCGCACATATACGCATCTACGTACGTAGATAGGTGGGCGCGTAGTAATACGCGCATATTACAATTTGAATTTCCAAATGAATTGGCCGGCCGAAATTTATCCAGCCGAATCGCGACACGTTGCATTTATCGCGCCGATATCCAACGGTTTCAGAACCGATACCGTCTCTCGCCTCGTACGCCCGTGCGAAATTTATACGCGCCTGTGAAACGTAGTCGTGTAATACATGTAAACGCATCGAACAGGTTGAATTCACATAGACGGCACATGCGGAGGAGGTATCCTAGGCGAATAAGTTTCGTTAAACGCGAGACCCGCGTTGGTGTTTTTACCGTGATACATAGAGATACGATCACACGCACGCGTAGTAACGAACGTCGATGCCGTTTAAATGCTAATCTCGTTGTAATGCTGATTCGACGGCTCGTTTTTTCTTTCGAATCGGTCCGCCGTTCGTTCGCCGAAAATCTACGACGAATCGATTTTCTCTCTTCTCTGATTTACGAAAAAGAAAAGAGAAAGTAATCGCAATAATTTTTCTCCTTTCCAGGTTCTCACACCATCCTCCGGTCTCTTGGACTTTGCCATAAGCATGCGTCCGGATTACCATCGTGCCATCATCGACACGGTGCGATACTACGGATGGAAGAAAATCATCTACCTCTATGACTCCCACGACGGTGAGTCCTCGTAACCTTTGACTTTCTCGTGCGATGCATATACCCGTATACCGTGTATAGCTTATGTCGGTTCGTCTGGAACCTGTACACGTTCAAGGTGTACGTACCTGAGCGTGCACGTCACGCATGCATATATATATATATATATGTGTGTGTGTGTGTGTAAATATATATATATATATATATATATATATATATACACACGCACACACACACACACACTCGCGAAGCTCCATAGCGGTTGCAAAATTTCGAATTCTCATCTTTTTTCTCCTCTTTCTCTCTCATTCTCCCCCTCTGCCCGCGCCACCACCGGTATGTCTTACTTTTATTACCTACTACTATCCAGGCAGGTACCGAGTCGGGTCTCTGGTGGGCAACTTCCTTCCGGCGGATATCATAGCGAATCGGTATCTACGATCGCCCGTTTCTTCTGCTTCGGCCTTATACACGCACGGGCTCTACTTAGTTACATAGAGGCGCAAACTAGAAACTCTTTTTAAGTAGAAAATACTCCAAAGCGTACGTTCTCCTTTTTGTACGTTTTTCCGTGCAAACGAAAGGAGAGAAAAAGAATCTAGGTTCGCGTCACTCGGTAAATAATAATTGAGAAATTCTCGTAGAAGCGAAGACAAAGCGCGACACCAATGTCAGGCACGTAAGCGGGGAAGGTCGAACGAATCTCGGGCGAGGCTTGAAACAAGGTTTTTCCTTTTACTTTCGTTATTCCTAGAGTAAAACGTAGAAGAGGTTACGTTGGCCGTTGCAACATAAGACGACGAGTCCACGCTTTCCTTTTCCGTTGGCAAGCTCATAAATCTTCAAAGTTCCGTAAAATATATTTCGATTGCTACTCGATGATACAATAAAAACCGGTTTAACACGGGGGTTATCCTCTTACTCTTACGATCGAGAACATACTCGTGCCGCATCTTAATTGTTGCCGCATCCTTTTTTCATCCAAAATTCACATATCTGATTCGTTGGAGAAAACGAACGAGTCGATGGAAATCTACAAATATTAGACGTTTCGTTTCCTTATAATCTCGTTGAAAAATTTTCTATGTCTGATGAGACATTACCTATCTTTCGAATATTATTGCTCCATCGAGCACGAAGGAAAATCAAAATCAGTATCGTTCGATCGATTGGACTTTAATTGCCCCGAATGCTAATACGCTATGAGAAGCTTTAAAAGTTTCGTCTTTGTTTCGACGTATTCACGTAGATTCAAACATTTTCCATTTCTTATTATCTATTTCGTATCGAATAAGTTTATCTTTTTATTATTTTCATTAGCTCGGCTATTAGCATCGCGTCTTGCGTGACTATTGCTCAATAAATATAAAAGCGATAAAGTGACCGTAGAGACGGATAGTTAATTGTAAGGAAAACGTCCTCGAGACTCGTGACCTTTCACTTTGCAACGAATATCTTTTAACGTTGGAACGCTGAAATATCATTGAAATATTTATATACATATTTGATTCTTTCGCGAACGTTAGTCTCCAGAGGATACGTCTCTTTTACGCTTCACCGTGCTTCGGTGACGATCGAAATAATTATTATTATACGCGATCGTTGTATCGCGCGAAAACGGAATGCGTCATGACAGAGGCGAGATGAGTTTTTCCCGTAATTTTTCCTGTTTCGCTTCTACAATAGAAGGTCGCGCGTTTATCGAAATGCTCCTAATATCGTGAAGTTAGGCAGTGATCTTCCTCCTCGGGAGAATCCTATTCGGGGAACATTGACCGAACCGTCGGAAAGGTTCAAGGACAGATCGATTCCGCTTCCCGTCTCGAAACGAACGAACACAGTTCGCTTCGCGATCTTACAGAAGCATCGTGACCGTATAAGTGATTCGAAGCTGAGCCCGTTGATTGATGTTGCAAGACCGAATTAACGATGCTACGAAAAGTAAGAATGAAACTTTCGAAGACTCGCTAGTAGATGTACATTGACATCTAGCAAGGACGAAGTCGATCGAGTTCCAACGAAATCTTTATCGAAAAGTATTAAATGACTCACGATCAGAACGATCTATATTTAACGGATCGGTGATGACGTTGCGTAAAGTATTGTCGATATGACTAACTTGCATTATATCGCGGGAGGGAAAAGAAGAGAGAAAAGAACGAACGAGATTTCCGCGCCGAAAGGAATATGGGCCGTGGTACGAGGAATGGCCATTCAAGGTCATAGTGGAACGTATTGAATTCGAGCGGCAGTCGAACAAGTCGGTGGACTTGACGGGTCGGTTTATTTCGGCGAATCGAAAGAATTCCAGGTTGTATCGATCTTGGGTGTTAACGGAGAGAATGACGTTCTTCGTTATTTCGAAGAAAATCTACAGGAAAATAATCAACGTTTGAAAATGATGGCTTTGGTACGCGGAGTCGACCGGTGTGGCGCCAACCAAGAAGAGGGGATTCCAATAAAAATACGTGTAACTCGCACGCGTTCCTGAAGTGGGCAGAACGCGTTCGGCAGCTCGCAGTTTCCTTTACGTGTCTCGTCCGATAATGACATCGACGACGATATCGAGGTATCGCGCGAATAGCGTCCCGACACGTTCATTTGCATTCACCTTCGATTTTTAATAATTGCCACGAGTGTTTGTGTATTGTTATAAACTCTAATTATAAAACTTACGTTTGTTACTTGACCTTTCGTCAAAGAGAGGATCATCATGGAAGGAAGTTCGGAAGATGCTCGCTTCGTCAAAACCTTTCAAAGGTGCTTTTTCTTCTTTTTTATTTATTTATTTCTTTTTTTTGTTTCTTCTTTTCTTTTCTTCTTTTTTTTTTTATTTTTCAACAATTCGATCCGTTGTCGCGTACGAGAACTAACGTAAGCCGTTTACGAAGCGAACGGTTTATATCAATGAATTCTTGAACTTGATCGTACGAAATGGAAAGATCGATCTATCCCACTGAATTTGAAATTGTACTCCTTTTCGTTTACTTTTTTCTTTTTTACTCCTTGGCGACGATCAATAATTAATCTTTCCTCTGGCGTGTCAAAGTTCAAGGGACGAATCGTCAAAGGGATTGGCGAGGTTTATCTCGTACAATGCCAGGATGCACAGGATCGACTGGCGTCCACCAAGAGATTGACATCTGTTCGGCAATAATCCTCTTGGATAGCTCGGTCGTAAGCTTGCCAAATAAAGTCTATCGATGTCATCGAGCGACGGCATTTCATTTTGCGTATTCGCAAATAATCTTGCATACTCATTTTATACGCATTCAACATTTTCTAGATAAGAAAAGTCATATTTTACGTAACTCCGTTATAGTTAATTTCTATTTCATTCGACGATTCAAATTTCAAAGTAATAACGTCCTTCGTACACAAAAAAAAAAACTCAATTAAAGTTGTAATAGCGTTCGGTGGACCGTGAATAATGCACCAAGAATCAAGTGCACGCTTCGTTTGATCGGATATTAAGAATTCTATATTTATGTAAGATGTAAGTAAACCTATAGACGTATCAACCAAGAGAAGATGATAAATGCGTGATAAACTAAAAGGTGTGCGATTTTATGCACAGTAGGTTGACTCACGCTGTCAAGAGATCGCAGCCTTTCCGAATGATTACTTTTCTTTTCGCTCAATTTCCCGTCGGCACTTACGAAGAGACCGATGACTCTGCGCCCTTAAGAGGAGAATAAAGATAAAATCAAGTCTGACATTAGGGCTTTTCGATATTAGCGAAATGAATTCGTTTATGTAGAATATTCGGGGCGATCGTTCGAGGCATCGCGTCGATGGGTCTTA